TAGTCTATAGAACTCACTCCCAAAGGAATTGAAAAACTGTGCAACCTATGCCTTATTCAAAAATAAAACCAAAAACACTTAATTTCATCCCACATAGTTTCCGACCTATTGCCATAAACTCGCACTATCTTGTGCTACCTACTCCCCTAATATGTGCCTAAGCCATACAACTTCACCATTGTAATCACTGCTACAGTATCATCTAATATCATGGTTGTTATATTGAATGCATATTTTACTACAATATACCTATTAATAATCTTAAAATTATGCTGCAATATGCCTGTTGATAATCTTCAAATTTTACTATAATTTACCTACTATGCCTCTTCAAATTTTCTTACAATGTACCTGTTAAAATTTCTCAATTTTGTTAGAAATTACCTACTTAAAATTATCTTTTAGATTAAAGACCTGTCCGAAACACTGTGTTAATGGCTTTACAAGAATGTAAAAACATCAATGCTATGTACTCTCATAAACCCAATGTACCTTCTTGTATGTGTAATTACCGAAGTGTAGTTACAGGATGAGAGCTACACTCGTGGTGTCCCGTCTTCCTAGCACGCTCTGTCATATAACACTTTGAAATTACCAACGGTTTTGGCCTCCACCACCACCTCACCTAACTTGTTCCAACCGTCTACCATTCTGTTTACAAAAGTGAATTTTCTTATATTTCTCTGGCAGCTTTGTTTCGCGAGTTTAAATCTATGACCTCTTGTTCTTGAAGTTCCGGGTCTCAGGAATTCTTCCCTATCAATTTTATCGATTCCTGTTACTATTTTGTATGTAGTGATCATATCGCCTCTTTCTTCTATCTTCTAGTTTTTGCATATTTAATGCCTCTAACCTCTCCTCGTAGCTCTTGTCCTTCAGTTTTGGGAGCCATTTAGTGGCATGTCATTGCACCTTTTCCAGTTTTTTGATGTGCTTCATAAGATATGGGCACCATACAACCGCTGCATATTCCAGCTTTGGTCTAACAAAAGTCGTGAACAATTTCTTTAGTATTTCTCCATCCATGTATTTAAAAGCAATTCTGAAGTAGAAAGTGTAGCATAGGCTCCTCGCACAATATTCTTAATGTGGTCCTCAGGTGACAAGTTTTCTATCTTAGAACCACCCCTAGATCCCTGTCAGAATTCTTTAAAGATTTCTCACATAATATATAGGTTGTGTGGGGTCTATGTTCTCCAATTCCACATTTCATAACATGGCATTTATTCACATTAAATTCCTTTTGCCAAGTGTTGCTCCATATTGTGTGTGTGTGTGTACATATAATAAATATACAGTATACAGAAATCTGGAATCTATAGAATAGGGAAGCAAACATATACAATAATTAAATGTTTGCTTCCCAATTTTATTCTTAAAAAAGCCAAACCTAAACTGGAATTTAACTTGTGTACATACTGGTATACTGTAGCTATATAGCAGGCAATATATTAATTTCTTATGCTTTATATGTGAATTTGGGTTTGCAGATTCTATAAAGAAGTTTTGGAGATTATGGAAAATATTATAGGCCCAGGTAGACAGCAGGCAATTTATATTTTATAGGCCTATTGCTTATAATTTTGAAGATATGCTTGAAAAGGTTTAATTGGTGCATAAGCAATTGCTTAGTTCTACAAATTTCATATGCAGCATTCTTGTTCAATGATTGGACAACACTTAAGTATTCAGTTAATAGTTATTGCACATTAAAATAAAAAGTGGACACTATGGCTCCTGTGCTGCGCAGTGGATCTGAACGGGTTCTGGCACAGGTAGATAAAAACTGGCGGTACTTATGCTGTCCAATTTTCCCGCAAGTGGTGACTGGTCTCATCCACCAGTAGTAAACGGTGTTGGCTTTGTTTTAATTTTACAGTATGCTTACATTGTTTAACCTTATAAAGAACTGTTAAGATGATCCCTAAATATTTTAACTGATCTTGGGTATTGCTAATTTAGGCACTAATTTTGCTTTTATAAAATTGACTGCAGCAATATTTTTTTGGTTTACTAGTGGCTTCAAACAATAAGTGTCTGATATTACAACTATTACTTTTAGAGATATAAACTCACATTTTATCTCTATGAGCAGTTACCTGCTTTATGAAGAATCATGCTAAAATAATATTTTAATGTGGAAATGTACAAATTATAAAGCTAATGAGTTACGTTAAATATGAGCCAATACATTTTTAGTTACCTTTATTTGTTCTGTTTGAGACTTGAGATTAAAATTTAGCAGCTATATCCGGAGTGAATGCATGTTTGACAGTGTGGTATTACAGTATTATTAAATTAAAGAATATAAAATGTTTTTTTATTTCAGTATCTAGTATTGTATATGTGTCCAGCTTGAAGAAAAAGTTTTGTTATATAGGCATATATTTTATTATTATCATCATCAGCATTTTAAGTAAATCTAAATGTACACAAATGTACATGTTAAAAAGAACTGGGAAGACAGGACACCACAAGCACAGCTCTTGTCCTGTAGCTACATTGAGGTATTTGCACATATGCACTGTACTATTTTTTTTTATTTATTTATATATATATATATATATATATATATATATATATATATATATATATATATATATATATATATATATATATATATATATATATATATATATATATATATATATATATATATATATATATATATATATACACACACAAGAAGGTACATTGGGATTGTGAGGATACATAGCATAGTAATTACATTCTTGTAAAGCCACTAGTACGTGCAGCATTTCGGGCAGGTCCTTAATCTAAGAAAATTTTAAGTAGGTAAATGCTTGCAAAATTTATAAAAATGATAACAGTTACATAGCAAGAAAAAAATAGAGAGAAAAGAGAGAAAAAATAGAGAGAAAAGAGAAAATTGTAGGTATATTAAAGCACATAGGTAGCTCGGTTAATTGCAATGACAGCTTGAATGGTAGTTTAACAAAAATTAGAAGGCACAATACAGCATATGGCTAGCACATAAAAGAAGACAGCAATGAACACAATGATAAAGTTGTTTGGGTTAAGTACATAAAGATTGGGAGACACTAGATACAGAGCAAATTTAAAGCTCAACTATGCTAGCAAATTTTGGGATCCTGTTTAAATATACTGTATATTTACTGGAGAAATACTAAAGAAAATGTTCAACATTCATGAAACCAAAATTTGAAATGAAATAGTGGTGTAGTGTCCATATCTCAAAAAGCACATCAATAAACAATAAAAGGTGCAAAGACATGCTACTAAATTGCTTCTAGAATTAAGGAGAGGCTGGAGGTGTTAAATGTGCCAAAGCTATAAGGAAAAAGAGGCAATATGATCCCCACATACAAAACAATGACAGTAATCGATACATTTGAGAAGGAAGATTTTTTTTAAAACCTGCAACTTCAAGAACAAATAGGCCATAGATGCAAGCATAGGAAACAAATTTGTTGAAAAATATAAAAAGTTTTCTTTTTATGAACAAAGCTGTAAATCAGTAATGTTCAGTCCCAGTTCACGTTTCTCCCCTTGCAGTCCCAGGTTTCTTTAGAGTATCGTACATTCTTTCCCAGTTTGGAGTTCCTTCCCTGACTGACATTCCTTCCCTAGCTAAAGTCCCTCCTATTAGATTTTAAATTCCTTGCTGGTGAACCAAGTGCCTCCACTTTGAGAATCACCGTTATACATGGAACAATATTAATGAGGTGGCGAGGCCAAAACCATCAGTAGTTCCAAAGCGTCATATGATACGGAGTACTGTACAGTACTGTACTTGGAAGATGGGACACCACCAGTGTAGCTCTCATCCTGTAACAACATTTAGATACACACAGAAATCACAATAGCGTGATGCATCAAATGAACAAATCCACAAGGGCCGTAACATGTACCATGTTTGACCATGTTGTGGCCTAATCGACTAAGGCAGTATCCGGGATCATCCCGGGCGTAAGTTCGAACCCTCATTATGACCCTTGTGGATTTGTTCAACACTTAGGTAATTACACAATATTACATGTAGCCACAAACACTGAGAACAAATTGAGGTACACATGTATCCATGTTTTAGTACATTCAAGAGTATGATGCCTATGCATGCATATATATGCTGACATTATGCCACGATTTAGAAAAAAGTACTTTAATTAATTTTTCTATAGTAATTATAGATTTAAATATGAAAAACACAATACAAGGTATTAAAAAAAATATCCCTATTATGTCAAGGATTTGCAGCTTACATATGATCAATATAATCTACCCTAAAATCAGTTCTCTCCATTAAAACTATCTGTTTACTCAATTTTTTCATTTTATCTTTACAACCCTAGAAAGTTGTTTAGGGATAAAGTATAATTCTCTAGCAGTACCAAAGTGTTATAAATGCAACAGTTTTCATTATATTGTCTTGTCATAAATTAATTATAATTTTTTTGTATAAAAGCAATGCTTTTCTTTTATGCTAAATTAGCTACAAAAATATCAGTTACAGATGGCTTTAAGAGCTTATAATATAAACTGAATTTATGTTAATGTTACAAATGTATTAAAGTAGTTGTAGACATCAGGAGATTGTGATCTTATGTCAATTTACAACTTTTTGGGTGCAAAATATAGCTTAACCCTTGCACTGCTCACCTATTTTCGGCAAAAACGTCTTGGTGCAATTGTCAAGGACATATTTTTGTTATTTTTACAAATGTTCAGGTAAATTTAATGTCAAAATGTTTCCAAAGTCAACTATTTCCATTTCAAAACACAAATAGTAATGAAAACATTAAAAAACATTAAAATATAGCCAAATTAAAAAACAAAAAGCACAACTCTCTGAGCGCCTAAAGGCGCTTTGCGCAGTGCAGTGGTTAATACTGTACTGTACAGAATTGGCATGCCAGTTATTACTGTACACTATAATGTATATGCATTATTCCTTTCTATTTATTGTTAAGAGAATAAACTTCAGTGCTTTACCTCTAAAATGTTGTCCTTTTTGGCAGGTGGAGCTTGCTAGTACTGGTGGCCGTGGCCACATGCGGGGGCCTTCCTCAACAAGACCGCCGCCGCCTCTTGTTTGGCAACCGCAATCGACCCAATCTCCTTACACGACGCACCTCTTCCACTGAGGCTCCTGTCGACTCTACCACAGAGGCCCCACCACTAGAGGAGAACAATGCTTCCCAGCCAAAGGCTCGGGTGCCCCTACGCACGCCGAATCTAAGGTTTGGCATGCGTCCTGGATCTCATTCTGTCAAGAGTAAAATTGAGCAGCAGAAAGAAGAAAAGGAGAACCACGAGGAGCTGAAAGAGGCCACTGGGGAAGTAAAGGAGGCTAGTGAGGATGTACAGGAGGCCACTGAGGTGAAAGAAACACTGGTCATCAGCGAACCAATAACAGGCCAAGAGTATGTTGCCTTTGGAGATGCTAAAGAAATCCAACCATCTAGACCGGAGCCTGAGATCCTTACCAAACCCATTCCTGGACAGGAGTTTGTGGCTTTCCAGGATCCTGCTATTGTCCAGGATTTTGTCACCACAGCCGAAGACGGAAAGATTGTTCATGTGAGTGTTGATGAAAAACCAGAAGGGCATGCTGAAGCAGATCTAGAGCCACTTTATGATACTTTTTATGAAGATACACCAGCCATTCCTGACCAGCACATCTTGGAATCTGGGATTGATGCTATCCTCCTCACTCCTGATGAAACCTTGCCAATAGTGAAAGAGGCACCTGCGACAGAATCAAATGCCTATGAGACCCTGATTGAGAAGGACCAGGTAACAGAACAGTCTGGGTCAGAGGGCAGCATGACTGAACAAGAACCTGAAGTTGAGGGAGAGAGCAAACACATTCTGCATCATCTGGAACTTGAGCAGACCCACATCGAATCCAAGAATGAAACAAGGACTGAACACCCTCATGACGGTGATTATGTGGCTGATGCCGTTGATCTGCATGAACCCGAGTCTCTCCCCAAATCCCTGCATGCCAAAGATGGTGCCCTTACCCTTGAAAATGAGCCTGAAGCAGAACCTGAACATGCTGCAAAGCCAGAACATGCTTCAGAACCTGAACATGTTGAACATGCTCCAGAGCCAGAACCAGAACCTGAACATGCTGCGGAACCAGAATTTGAGATTCCGTATGAAGAGCTCACAACAGAGGTTCCCGAGTATTCCACTGACGTGCCAGATGTGTCGGAGATTGTTAAGGTTACCAAGTCTAATGATTCCAATATACAGATCCTCAATCCAGGCGAAAAAGGCCAGGGACTTCCTCCTGTCAATGAACTCTATGGAAAGTACTTCGATGAAAGTGAACTCAACTTTGGAAAAAATCCCAATAACCAAGAGAAGCTCCTCTTTCCCTCTGAGACAGAACAGAAGACAAGAAGCAAAATTGAAATAAAGGAGGTGAATGGCCAGCTGTATGAGTATGAATACATATATTATTATGATGACGAGTACCCCCAGTATGATGACGAAATTGCAGCCGTTGATGTCGAGTCTTCTTCGATTGTACCACTAACCGAGGAATTTGATACAACCACAAGCACCACCACTACAACCACCACCAGCACCACCACCACCACCACACCTGCACCTACCACGACTGATTTGCCAGCTCGTGGATTCAGCAGAACCTCGGGTAGCAGCCGAACCCGTGGAAGTGAGAGCAATGGTTTACTGGATGGCAGCAGATCATCTATCAGCAGCAGGACCCGTGGCGGCAGCAGCAGAACAGAAGAAGACAGTAGTAGAAGAGACAGCAGCAGGTCGTCTATCGGGAGCAGGATTCGTGGCCACCACACAGTGGATGAACCCCAGGAAGAAAACATCATTGAGCCAGTGAGAAACTCAGCACGTGGAAGGACATTCGAGCCTAGCAGATCCTCATCCCGTGGGAGAGGAAGTTTACGGGGGCGGGAGAACACCAACACCATTGATAATGCTGTGCATGGTGTAACAGTGGAAGAGGACAAGCTTCCTGCCCACACCCGCTTTCCACCTCGGACCACTACACCCTCCAGTGAGGCATTAATTGAGGATTCCTCCCATGTGGGACTCGACGAACAGCATCAGGACCCCCTCGTTCCAGATGTGGCAAGAACCCATGATGGCCGTGGACGTCAGTCTTCTCGAGGTGGTCGGCTGTTGACCCCAGAGGTCACACCAGAAGTTAATTTGGAGGAAATAACAACTGATGTGCCTTTCACTACTACAATGTCACCATCTTCTCTCTCCATCGTCAATCTCTATGCATTATCTCGCGCCGCTGATGCTCAAGACACAGGAGAGACCACTACACAGGACCCCAGTGTGTATGATGAAACAGAAACGCCCCTTGATTACCAAGACTACAGTGACTATGGTGACACAGCTACGCAGGTTCCCTCCCACTTACCAGAAAGTGCCACAGAACTTGAGCCCCAGGCAGAACCTGAACCAGAACCTAGTACAGAGATACCTACAACTACCACAACCACTACTACTACTACTACTACCACCACCACCACACCTCCCCCCACCACAACTACTGAAGAAAGCAATGACAGAGAACGATTTGGATTTAGACCCAAGGGCTCCAGCCGCTTTGGCTCACGTGATTCTGGCAGAAGACACAGACTCTCCACCACTGAAGCTCCACAGGAGAGCAGCACCACTCAGACAACCTCTAGACCAGGAAGCCGATTCAGTAAAAGGCCTCCGATTGGCGGCAATCGCTTCAAACCCCAACAAACAGAAACACCAGAGACTGAAGTAGCCAGTGAGAAAAATGTTGAACTGGAGTCCTCAGATTCAGACAAACCTGCCTCTAGACCTAACGGTGGTTTCAGGTCCAGATTTACTAAGCCTCGTACCAGTTCCTTTGGCTCATTCAGATCTAGAACAAGCACCAAGGACGACACAGAAGTAACTGAGGCTACCACAGCAAAGCCTCCAGCAGCTACACGAAACAAGCCACACATCCCTTCAAGAGGTGGTTTGCGCAACAGGGTTAGAAATCGTGGAAGTACAACAGGAGGGGAGGTCAGTACAGAGCCTACAGTTGAAGAAGCACCCAATGAATCTCCTGCTGAGGAAAGAGCTGCAGAGGAAATTCAGAATGAAGAAGTGAGTGCTGCTGATGCTGTGTCACCCACCACTGATGGCCCTGCACTCAAAGACTCAAACGTTCGCGGTAGGAGGCCCCCGAACAGACATCGATTTGGTGGCCTTGGAGGAGCAAGAGCTCCTCGCCCATCAAAGGTTGCAGAAGAGAAACCCCCTAAAGAGGTAGCCCCTGCAGAACCTTCGGGACAGAAACGCACTCCTCTCCTCAATCGATCACGTCCCACCACTGGCCTGGGCTCTCGCTTTAAGAACCGTAATAATCCAAGAATTCGTGGGGGAGCTAATACTGAAGCCCCTGCAGAGAATCCTGAGGCAACTGCTGAAGAAAGTCCAGTACAAGAACAAACTGAGGATCTCACAACAGATGAACAATCACCAACAGAAGGAGGAGAAGTGGCTGAGCAAACAGGTAGTGATGTTGCTGCTGAAGAGTCACCAGGAGAGACCCAGAGTGAAGCAACACCACCTCGTGGTGGTGGTCCAGGTGGAAGACGTGGTGGCTTCCTTAACAGAAATCGCAATCGTTCTGCTACAACTAGCCAGGCAGCCAAGAAACCAAAGCCCACCACACCTGCCCCACGCAGAAAGCCAGGCGGTATCTCCTTGCTCAACCGGAGAAGATCAGGTCAGAAGGTGAAGAATGAGGAACAAGTACCAGAAGCAGCCGATCCTGCAGCTCAAGATGTACCTGCTGATGAAGCCCAGCCAGCAGGTAAACACACACATCTCTATGGTTTAAATTTAGAAAGAATGGGTGGGTGGGAAAAGGGGTGAGAGGGAGGAAATGAGAAAGAGAATAAAGGTGGAGTGGAAAGGGGTAAATGTATGTTCAGGGAAAAAAAAATATATCATGCAGGGAAGAAAATGATAGAGGGAATGTTTTGCATTAAACTTAAATATCTGCATTTTCCTAATACCCTAAAACTATATTAGGCTGAAAAATCTATTAGACAATGCTAGCAAACTTTTGGCAGATTATAAAGATATCTACAAACATTGGATAAGTAATTTTAGAACTAAGTACCTCACACGGGCAGGCTTAGAAGGCCATGTGTCTGACATTCAATAATATAAAAGTTTGAGAATGTCTCCTGTTGAATGCTTGTGACAAAGAATCCATGGAAGACATTACTTTGCCCCCTTGAATTAGTCCTCTCTGCCCCCTCACATAATTTTATTTTTATATCACTGTATACATGTGTGCTTGTGTAATGTTTTTAAATGGTACCTAGACATTGTAAAACTAAGTAAATTCATTTATGACGACCTTTATTCCAAAACCTGGACGAGAGTTTAAGACGAGAGAGCCAACGACTTTGACATTTGTGGCAAGTTGGCTACTGCAAAATGTGATGTCACCACCAGCCAACTAATGACGGGTCGAAGAAATGACGATCACTCGCCACCAACCTAGGACGGACATCGAGGCTAGAACTGGAAGACATGAATACGACCTTCCTCACTGACAACCCTACCAGCATGACCTCATGCCAAGACCACCACCAATATAAATATAAATATTATATATATATAATATATATATATATATATATATATATATATATATATATATATATATATATATATATATATATATATATATATATATATAATATATATATATATATATATATATATATATATATATATATATATATATATATATATATATATATATATATATATATATATATATATATATATATATATATATATATATATATATATATATATATATATATATATATATATATATATATATATATATATATATATATATATATATATATATATATATATATATATATATATATATATATATATATATATATATATATATATATATATATATATATATATATATATATATATATATATATATATATATGTCGTACCTAGTAGCCAGAACTCACTTCTCAGCCTACTATGCGAGGCCCGATTTGCCTAATAAGCCAAGTTTTACTGAATTAATATATTTTCTCTAATTTTTTTCTTATGAAATGATAAAGCTACCCATTTCATCATGTATGAGGTCAATTTTTTTTATTGGAGTTAAAATTAACGTAGATATATGACCGAACCTAACCAACCCTACCTAACCTAACCTAACCTATCTCTATAGGTTAGGTTAGGTTAGGTAGCCGAAAACGTTAGGTTAGGTTAGGTTGTCGAAAAAACATTAATTCATGAAAACTAGGCTTATTAGGCAAATCAGGCCTTGCATAGTAGGCTGAGAAGTGAGTTCTGGCTACTAGGTACGACATATATATATATATATATATATATATATATATATATATATATATATATATATATATATATATATATATATATATATATATATATATATATATATATATATATATATATATTATATATATATATATATATATATATATATATATATATATATATATGTCGTACCTAGTAGCCAGAACGCACTTCTGAGCCTACTATGCAAGGCCCGATTTGCCTAATAAGCCAAGTTTTTATGAATTAATGTTTTTTCGTTTACCTAACCTACCTAACCTAACCTAACCTAGCTTTTTCGGCTACCTAACCGAACCTAACCTATAAAGATAGGTTAGGTTAGGTTAGGTAGGGATGGTTAGGTTTAGTCATATATCTACGTTAATTTTAACTCCAATAAAAAAAAATTGACCCCATACATAATGAAATCAGTAGCTTTATCATTTCATACGAAAAAAATTAGAGAAAATTTATTAATTCAAGAAAACTTGGCTTATTAGGCAAATCGGGCCTTGCATAGTAGGCTGACAAGTGCGTTCTGGCTATTAGGTACGACATATATATATATAAAATACTGTATATATTGGTGGCAATATATATACACCTCAATATACCACCACCAACCATTACCACCAGTACCTAATCATAATTCCAGGACAACCATATACGGCTATACCATTAAAAAGTCACTTGGTCTGCTGAAATGCCTGGTCGTGGCTCTTGCTATATTAGCTCTTATCTTGATTATGCCTTGTCTTGCTTAGTAACTTTTACCGTCTCTCTCTTGTTCACACAATCTCACCCTGTCTCAGTCTGTCCCTTGCTCTCATGATCTCACAGTTTTGGACTTTTGTCTATTGCTCTCACCATGTGTGTCGTTTACTTTCAGGATCTCTCACTGTCTCTTGCTCGCATGATCTCATTCCATCTCAGTTTTTGTCTCTTGCTCTGCCTGACTGTGTGGATGTCCTTTAGGGTCTAAAGGAACCCTTACACTGCTCTAATTGCTGCCTGCTATTTACTCCTATGCACATGCTACTGATCCTTGTGTTTTCAGTATTTATTTTTCCATGGGCACCTGGTTGTAGGACTTATAAACAGCTTAGCAGTATAAGGGCTAACAAGTCATTAAAATGAGCTACTTAAATAAGCCAGCCATGGTTCTGTTTCAAGTTTTACTCTGCCTCTCACTTTGCCATTTATGTTGACCAAACCACATACTAGTTCACACTGCTCCTCCTGCTTCTAAATGTCGCTGGTGTCTACTCTATTTCCTGTTCGTCTTGTCCTCTTCAATACTTTGGTGAAACTGGCTGTACACTTAATGACAGACTTAAAGAACACAAAAGAAGTGTTAAGTCTGCCGACACAAACAATGCTCTCTTCTGTCATGTTAGGGATTCTAATCATCCTATTGATTGGTCTTCCTCCAAAATAATCTTTCCTGCCTCTACTCTATAAAGACGCTGTCTTGTTGAATCGGCTCTGATACATAACATACCCAACATGAACTTGAGTCCTGGCTTTATTGCCGTTCACTCTTCCCTTTTACAGTATATACTCAAATGCTCTAAACTTTCTAACAAATGTGACCTAACATAAGCTTACCCTTCCATTAATCTATCCATCCATCTTTCTTTCTTTTTCTTTCCCTTGTTTTCTCTTATGATCCCTTTCTTATTCCTATTACTATCCCCTTTATTACACCCTACCTTTTGTACCTTTTGCCTTGCTTCTCCTCACCTCTCTCTTGCCTATTTATTGCCTTCACCTCCTTCCCTCATCACAATCAACTTGAGAAGGGTCCAGGATGGACCGAAACGTCATCGTTCTTTTACTTTCTAGTGTGTGGTTTGGTCAATATATTTCAGCCACGTTATTGTGACTCCTCGTCTGCATTTGCCATTTGTCTTACATTCTTCATTTTTTCTCTTGCCCTTATTAATTATTGAGAGTTTAATAGTATGCAAACATTTCATAACCCATCATCATATAACCTTGTATACTTAAGAACACTAAATTGACAATACTTTTAAAATGATATATGTGTAGGGTGCAAAATGTTTTGTTTGTAATATCTATACTTTGAGTGTTATTAATAAGACTATCCAATTATTAATTGTCATTATTTTATATTTTTTTAATTCTTTATGGTACAAAGATGTACAGTATTTGTAAACAAATGTCACCCTTCATTATCAGGAATGTTTACCTAATGTGATCCTCTATCATCAGCAATGGAAAGTTGACTTGCATTAGTGTAAGTCTTGTGCAAATATTGGTTTACACTTATAATACTGGGAAAATCTTGAAATATCAGGAAGTAATTCTTAAAATATCTTGCTTATTGGGATTGCCAGCTTCACTAACGCAAGTTTTACCCTACAGACGAGAACCAGCCTGAAGGAGAGGCAGCACAGGCTGCAGAAGAGACGCCCCTAGATGCTGACCCCCAACAGGAAGATGCAACACCAGCCCCTGCAGAAGATAACTCCCGCCAGAAGCCTCGCAATAGATTCTCTCTATTCAACAGGCGACGTAACCGCAGCTAGATGGACTTCTTTCTTGTAATCACTCAGACGTTCTCGTCCACTCTACCTGTTCCCCACATCATCTTTGCTGTACTCTTCTTCCCAGTCATCACCATCGTCATTACCATTAGTCTCACCCTTAGTGAATGTCACCACTGCCTGAAACAGGTTCGACCTTATGTAAGGGGATGTGACTTGCCGTGTCCCATCTTCCCACCACTTTGGGACAGTGTCTAAGAGTACCTTCTAGGAAATCCGTGTGGCTACATTTGACATTACATGAGCATCAGTTAACATGATAACTGCCACCTTGCTCTTACTGCAAATGTTCCAAGCAAATGAACTCTAGCAGATAAAGTGTGTGAGGGGAGGGTTCAGCAGGGTGCCTGTGAGAGACACCGTGTACCTCATCACATCTTACTCTCACACCCATTGCACACACATACCCAATCCCGGCCTTTATTGGTCCAACCTAGATCGTGACACCAAGTTTTATCATTGCCCCGTACCCCTCCTTCCCAGTGTAAAAAAAATGTGACCGAGACAACTTGGACAGTAGCTCTCCAGATCTGTCCAGTTGTTTTCTTAAATGTCCCAAAGTCCTACAAGCCAGTGACCTTGTATTTCTGCGGGCTCTGGGACGCCCACAAGCCACCTTTGTGATAACTTGTTCTTGTAGATAGCGATTACATTTTTGACCTTATTTAATGAACCGTAGTGTAAATATATTGTATTTGTTTAAAATTCTTCTCTTGTGAATAGGTCCATTCAGTTCTTTCCTCTGGAAAAGCTGTAGTGTATTAAGATGGAACAATAATTATCAGACAATAGCCCTTTATTTCTAAAATAGGCTATAAAAATTAAAAACTTATTGTTTATTCTTGTAATCAAATTGCCAGTTTGGTTTAATTGCCAAGAAATTAAACCGACCTACATCACACCATGACAAACACATTGCACTCTAAAATTTCAAGTAAACTTTTTATAAGTTCTGTTAGATGTGTAATATTGTTTAGCAATTATCCCATACAAATCCAATGAAGGAGACATAAATGCTGAACTATATATAATTGCATTGTACGAATATTCCTACTGCAAATTATATACAATGTATGAATGTATTTTTAAGTAATGTGACTTCTCAGAGGCCCGTTCTGTTGCATCAGCTGTTGATCGGAGATGTCATACCCTTTATCATGGCATCGCAGGACGAGCTGCAAATGCTGACCTCTGCGAGTGTCATTCGACAGGACATTGACTACCTTTGTACTTATCTAAAGTATATGATTTAAAAATATCACGCACAGACTACCATAGCACCTGCAGCCTCGCTCATCACACTCGGGTATTTACATAAGCCATTAGAATTTGTAATTTTTTTGAGAACCTTTAACTATCAGTAACATTTCATAGGCTACAAAACAGGAGGTAGCTATTATGACATGAAGGACGTGTGTGTATTTTAGCACATATCAGATAATTGGAATCAAAATGTATAGAAATGTGTAATTTATTTAAACTTTCAGTGTAGAAGCATATCAGAATATAGTATAAAAAAAAAAAAAAAAACATTGAAAGGCATTAACCACAAGGAAAATGTTAGTTGTTGCTTTATCCCTTTTGTTATGGGTGAGGACGGGGATCCCTTGCTGGGCACAGTTGCCCGCCGCCAGTCCGCTACGCCCCCGCATCAGCGGTACCAAACCTGTGTACAGTTTTATACTACGCCATATAACCTATGTTAATCTTATAAAATATACCAGTGATGTCGGTGGCATCCCAGACTGTGTTTACCCCCGCATTCTGTCCACAGTGGGTGGGGCTTAGCTCCAATGTTACTCCCGCCTGGATCAATAATCTGGGCTGTGCCAATAATCCAAGTCTGTGTACAGTGTCTTTGTAAATAAAATATGGTTACTCTATTGCTTAATATAGTGTTTTTTTTGTATATCCCTTTATTATTTTAACAATGATCCTTTACAAATCACCACAAAGAAGTGATAATTTCTTTTATTGGAATAATTACAAGAAATAACTTTGATATCACATGGAGCATAAAATATTCACCAAGAACAGTTAAGTTATTATGGACCTTACACACAGGGGTGTAGCCAGGATCAACAAAACGTTCTGATGTCCAAACATTTACACAGCATTCTAATTGGGATCTACTAGTTTTCTTTTGTGAATGTGTCTCCTTTGACAATCCTCCTAATATCATTATTCGCTTTCATTGTCATACTGAATAACATCTAAATTAATTATTAAAAGAAAATGCCATGCCTGGAAGACTGTCACTGGTCACAGAATATTAAACAAGATGCAAGAAAATATACAGTAATACATGTGATTTCAAAGTTATAAGATTCACCAAAGATTTTATTGATGTACAAAAGACTCAAAGTACTGAAAACAAAGGACATTCTATGAAGTGCATAACTGTCAGTGGCAACATTTCTGGACAGTAAGATGCTGGTCTTGATGCCATTAAATGCCCAGGAGTCAATCACATGTGACACAGCCTAACCAGAGACGTTTTTCACTACCTGTTGTAGTGGTAGGAGGAAAGCTATGGGTATCGGACAATATTGACAATATTGACCACGGAATCACCACAAGGTGATTCCGTGGGTCAAGGTCCCGGCCCGGTCTCTGATCAGGCCGGGACCTGGGGGGGTTGGTAAAATTTAATAGTAAACAATTTATTCACAAAACCTAACCACCTATCCAATGGTTGTTGATTGTGTTATGAATGACAGTAAAAATTTAAGTATAGAAGCAATATACTATGAATATAGTATACTATATACTATACTGAACTATGAAAAGTATGAATAATGCCCTTTAGAAATGGCATCTGAAAAGCAGCTAGAAACCCAGCAAAATTTTACTGTCTTGTATCTCCTAAAAACCAAGAAACATGTGTTGAATTACAGCCAGCAAGAGAATGTGAAGGGTTAAAAGACTTCAGGGCCATGACAGCAAATGATTCGACCATAATAACAATCATTAATGCATGAAAATTAACTGCCATGGTATGTATAAATTAGCACAAAGGTCTGCAATAAATCTCTAGGGAAGAGGTGGTACATATAGATATGACCAGGAGAAATAACCAACAGACTTCAACTCATCCACAGACATTAGAGGGATAAAAATGGCAGTGAAAAAGGTAACCCTTTGCAGGGGGCAAGGAAACAATATGAAGAGGCACATTGCAGACATGCACAGAAGTCTAAAAACAGGATATCTATGCAATCAAAATTTTTAAGAGATTGAGCAGGGCTTTCAATTTTGGCAGCAGTCAAGGAATGATACAAGTATGAATGGGGCTTTTGGAGGGACCAAAGAAAATATCACAGGTAATTCCGATGGTGACTGTTTTGTAAAAATAGAGTATTGATTTCTAAAAAAACAACTTTACTTTATCTGCTCCCCAGAAGGTATGTGACAAGACTGAGTAAGGACCTTGGAGGTAATGGACACTGGATAGCCAAAACAGCCGGGTGTTGAAGATCAATCCCAGGAGTCTTACTTTATCCTAATACTGTCCTAGTACATACATAGGTGGATTTTAATGGTGGATAGAAAATGACATGCCTTCCAGTAAAAGTAACACCACAATTTTTCTTTATAGAGCACTTGAAGCCATGATTTGTAGCCATCATGCTATCACAAGCTGTAGTCAGGGAAAAGGGAAAAATCATTACCACAACAACAAATACTTTATCAAAGTTGTTCCTCCTCTCTCTCCAGGTGGGAGTGAGGAGACTGACTATTAAGGGCAACCAGGAAAACGAGTAGTGGTTTAAACATCATGCAGAATGCCTTCACATTGGCAATATGAGGCAGAAAGAATAGTCCCAAGGGAGAACCTTAAACAGATGACTGGAGAGGAAGCATTAAAGAGTGACAATGTGCCATGAAGCCCAAAAAATGTAATTTGGCCTAAAAAAAAAAATACTGCATTTTATCTCCGGGCAATGTCACAAGCTTTTCATGAACTAAAAGATTTTCTATGGCAGAATTATTTGCTGGAAAGATTTAACGGATATAAACCTGTAAATCCATCAAAATCTTAGTTATGCTGCAATAATTGTAAAAGACAAATCGAGACAGGGGGCAATGATTACATTCTAAAAAATACATATATGGAACAAGTTATTCACACACTCGGACATACACTATATTCATAAGAGCTTGCAGACAATTGCTTAGGCTCATGGGGTAAAAATTCCCAGGCAAGATGTCAGTTTTTTTTCTTTTCTTTTTTTAATGGGAAGAACAACTGCTTTCAGCCAGGCCTTGGAAACAGATCCTGTACCTGAAATTTGGTTAAAAAAATCAACAGATTGTGCAAGGTATACACAGATGACAGAGCATCTTATAATGAATACGAGGGCCTGATGCCGTGGAGAAGTAAAGGGACAGAGATGACTGAAGCTCGGAAAGAGTGCAGAAATCATAGTAGTAGCACCAAGGCTACATGTGAAAGTAAACAGGGCAAGACAGTGCAGACTGTAATTCAGCTAGCATAAATTATAATATGAATAATGGACACAAATGACAATTTGAAGCCTGGGATTCAACAGCAGGTTTTCCCATTATGAAAGGTAAGAGGCAAGTGGGTACCAGTTCTTATACAGTTCATCACACGCTTTCTGGCCTCCTTGGAACTGTGACCAACTGAACAACCTGTTGTGTATGGATAAATAGCCCGTCATTCTAAAAACCTAGGGAAAAAATTAAACGGTATTTTGTTTGTACTTACCAACATAAGAAGTTCTTGTAGCAGCCACATTAGCTTCTGGCTGCCTTCAGCACCATGACCTACTTGACTCAGCCAGCAACACGTAACAAGCATCCTCGACTCGCCCTATTATGACACCATCATACCATTTCTAATGTCCAATGGCTGTAACCAAACTACATATATTAAATAAACATTAAAAACTACCATATTCTTTTAATTAATGTTGTCACCCAAAATTGTATGTTACATTCTGATCTGCTTATGAAGCTAAAATTATTGTTGATGGTGCATAGTTATTCAGATGGTACAGATGGATATGAATGGTGTTGGGTTGATTGAAGTGGAAATTTATGGTGATGAGGTAATTTCCCATGTTTAAGTGTTTGTACCACTCTAACAGTTCATTATCAACACTTTACACCTTAGCTTTACTTGCTATCTTTCTATTATGTATTTATCACTTTCACTTCTAGAAAAATAGTCAAAGATGGTAGATTTAGTCTTAGTAATGTCTGAAAGCACAGTCTTGTTTACGTCATGTTCAGTGCAAACAACACTACTCAGGTTTCCAGTCTCCACCTTCTTAATTAATTACACCTTCTCAAATGTCAGCACTGACTTCGTTAAATGAGAAAAATTAAAAAAAAAAAAAAAAAAAAAACTTGCATATGATTAGTATTAGCCTATTTATCACTATATCTTTTGGAATCCGTAGTTACCTTGGGGTTATGCAGAACCCCAGTTGAGAAACACTGATCTAGAGCCTAAATAGCTAAACTACACAATACTTTAAGCAAATTCATACAAACCATCTAATACTAGTTAAGAAAATAATAAGAGAGACATCAACCTTCTTACCTTGACAAGTTCAGTTTCATTAACATACACTTCTTTTCCAAGGCCTAACCTATGTACTGTATTATGAAACTTCCTTCATTATACATGAATTTTATTCACACTTTACATTTATTTATTTACAATAAAAAATGTACAGCAATATTAGTTCAAGAATAAATCATACAATCATATAAATACCTCTGCAAATGATTTTACCAATCTCTTAAGGTAAATAACTTCGGTACAGTATATATAAACATTTACAATTCCCATAATTTTATCCTGTATCTCTAGTAGTCTATGAAAATGCCACACTATACATGTCCTTTAACCCCTCATATGGCAGTGTACATCGTATCGTGTGTGTGGTTCGTACGGGGTCAACCCCAATACCTCATGACACTTTTCATTACACAAATTTAGGAAAATATTGGTTTTTGGCTCTAAATACTGTACAGTATTTATAATTACCAAAATTTGATCCCTGGCTATTATTACCTAATAAAATTATATATCTATTTAATATACATAAAAATAATTAGAAAAATTTTGAAATATGTGAAATTAATCGCAAAATTTTAATCACATTATAGTATTAAGTTTGACACCATCCCCCCCCCCCTTCAATCATCTATATTTTTATATTTTCTCTGAATCCTACAACAAAAAGAAAACAAAATTAAGGTGTAACTCTTTATCCAAATTCAAGGGGCTGATATTGATATCAGTATTTAAATAATTTCAATGAGTCTAGAAGCATATGGAATTTTGTTTAATAAATGGCAAAGATAAATCTTCAAAATAATAACAATACTGCACAAGAAAACAAATTATTTTATATAAAAAAAAAAGTTGAAGCCCCACAATTAAGAGAACTGCACCCACTAAAGGGTTAAAGCTACAATCATAATTAAATTAGCAAAAAATAACTGAAAGCCATCTTTTGCCTAATAAAAATTTAAAGCTACTATCACTCGTACTCTGATGAAAATACCATCATTAACTCTTAAACAACAACTGTCATTCTCAAATGATTAACCTATAGTGTTCCTGTTATTTGTTGACAATTTAGTGTGCCTCTTAATATTCAAAGTACCTTAATATTACCACTTTGTTGTCATTTGACACTAAAGACCTCTGGCAATCATTTATCATATTGGGAAAAAATTCTGGAAGCCTTAGGTACCTTACTGGGTATTATTAAAATAATTGGTACCATTTCAGATGCATCGCCATCCATTGACTGACATTTAGCACAACAATACTGACGTTATGCAAAATTCCAAGGACTTTATGAACAAGAGATTTATTTATGGTAAGAAATCTATTACAAATAATTTACTGGAAAAAATCTTTTTAGGATATAAAGTCAACATTTCTTCACCTCACTATAGCCTAATTAAATTATAATTTTTCCCAACATCAGAAATAAATAATTTATGATACACAAAGGAGCAATAATTTATATTTTTTATGTGCTCTTGGAAATGGACTTAAAACAGCATACTGTTTGAGGGTTAAAACTACAATTAAAACACTAGTATTCTACGAGATTCTAATAACCCGACCCAAACGCAAAACAGAAAGAATACATAGTCCTTTCCTTTCACTTTTGATTCCTCTGTTCAAGCCGACCTCACTCGTTATGGCACAGCCATTTTACTGACATATAAAGACAGCTTTGAAACAAGTTTTATAACTGAGAAAATGAGATAATGAGGAAATATAGAAGACATGTGATAGGATCAAACCTGTGGCCATAAACTCCTCAGGCACACACACTACCAAGCATATTCCCTAATGTATGTGCATGGGAAGTCCAGGATGCGGGATCAATCCCATTGTACGACTTCAATATTTTCTCATAAATGTACATATAATATTCTACATATTGTGCAAAGTGAGGTAAGTTTTAAAGAGAAGAGGTAATGACATGAAACTTTCCAGCCTTGTTTTGGTAAGTACGTCAAGTATGCCGTATACACGAGCAAGGCGTCAAGACGAATGTGGAACACCTGAAAGTTGCACTTAATAAAATTCTTCTCACTGCACTTGAGTTAACAAAAATAAAAATTAGATAAATGTAATTACTAAGTAACAAATTTGAATACAAATTATTCTAAAACACATGCAAACTTTGTTCCTTAGCAGTTAGATATACGAGAGATTATATAAATATAAATAATAATTACACAATTTTAGAGTAATTTCTGCAACAAGCATAAGAATTACATTTTCTGAATTATATGCATATGCTGTTGATACTAATACTATACTTAAATACTTCTACTACTATACTTAAATACTACTACTAGTCACTAAACTACTACTACCATCACCATTACTATTACCACTACTACTACTACCACCACTACTGTTCCCCCATAACACATTGCAAATGTGAGCGTACATTACTGATACATACATTTCAATTATCCATACTTTTCGATGGCCTTTCTTATAGCTGCAGCTACCTGCCATGGGTCATGCGGGCGATACACAACCTGAAAAGAAATTACATTTAATATTTAAAAATTACGTTTATTATTAGAATACAGTTTTACGTTATTATTAGATTACAGTGTATTATGTTTACTATTAGAATAGTATGTATAATATTAGATATTATGTTTACTATTAGAATACATTATTATGTTTCTTATCAGCATATTTATAAACTACCATTCAAGGAGATTTTGTCTTGGCTAATTTTTTTTTTTAATCATACTGCCAGCTCAGAGGAGCTGGTAATGTTTCCCTAGCACGTATCTCTACCATCAATACACATTTTTATATACCATATAGGGTCCTGCAACACAGTGGTCTGTGCCCCTGACTCACAAAGGAGGGACCTGGGTTCAATCCCCAGGCAGGACACAAATGCAAGGGCACGTTTCCTTTCTCCTGATGCCGCTATTCACCTAGCAGTAAAATAGATACCCAGGAGTTAGGCAATTGATGTGGATAGTATCCTGCATAAGGCGGCCTAGGGAGACCTCAATATGCATACGTACAGGCTTCCTGTCCCAGACATGGGGGAATTACGAGTACATAATATGAAAATACTATAGAGAAGCAGAACACATTGCCAAGACATGCATAATATTTGAAATTAAATCTACAAGTTTAATAGATTAAATAATAAATGACACTCAAATTGATAGCAGAACAGAAAAGAAATTCCAAGCCCTACACACAAAGATGGAATATGCAGTGGTTGTATGATGTCCATATCTTAAGAAGCACATTAACTGGAAGAGATGCAAAGACATGCAACTAAATGACTTCTGAAACTGAATGACAAGAACTACAAGGAGAGGTTAGAGGCATTAAAGATGCCAAAGCTAGGAGACAAAAGAAAAAAAAGAGGCGACATAATCACTACATACAAATTAGTAACAGGAATCAACAAAATTGATAAAGAATTCTTGAGATCTGAACTTCAAAAACAAGAGGTCACAGATTTAAGGTGACTAAACAAGGCTGCCTCAAAAATATTAGAAAATTCACTTTAGCAAACAGTGGTAGACGGTTGAAACACGTTAAATGAGAATGTAGTGGCGATCAAAACCATCAGTAGTTTGAAAGTGTTATATATATTATTATATTATATTATTATGAGTGCTGGGAGGATGGAACACTATGCAGGTGATGAGTCACAATAACATGGCTGAAGAATGTTGACCAGACCACACACTAGAAGGTGAAGGGACGATGACATTCCAGTCCATCCTGGACCATTCTCAAGTCAATTGTGAATGGTCCAATCGACTTGAGAATGGTCGAGGACGGACCGAAACGTCGTCATCCCTTCACCTACTTGTGTGTGGTCTGGTCAACATGGGACACTATGACTGTAGCTCTCATCCTGTAACTACACTTAGGCAATTACACTGAGGTAATTGTAATAATCAGCAGCACTATAAGCTACCCTAGATCTGGAGTTTACCCAAAATGAAGATGTAGAGAACTTAAAGTCTGAGATACCACTAGGAGTCAGTAACCACTGCATTATTGTGTTTGATTATACTGCTCAACTGAAAGAGTTTGAAAAAAAATCAAGGAGAGAAATAATACAGAAGAGGGGACTACAGGAGGGTTAGTAACTTTCTGCAGGAGGTTCATTGGGAGACTAAAATGGAAAGATAGTCAGCAAATAAGATGATGGAATGCAACACAGAAATGGGAATGAAGCAACGGAACATGGATCAGCAACAGCATGGACCACCACCACTACCACACAACAAATCCTTCACATTACCAACAATACGACAATAGATTAGGTGTCAAATGCTCTACAGAAGTTGTCACACAAATGTCAAACATTCACACCTGTCTCAAAAACTATTTAGTTTACCTGAAAAATTTCCAAAGAACTGTAATCTGCTCGTAATGAAGAGCAATGTCCTCTGGATACTAGACGGGCTACAGCTGGGATCCGACCTTTGGAGGCTTGTTCGGATGTCCCCAGTGCAGGCCATGCTCCTCCCAACCTACAAAATATAATTTTTTGGTGGCAATTGTTGCTGTTTTTTAAAGATGCTTAATATGTGTACTATATAATGGAAATATTTGCATGTGGTATATAACAGCACAAATTTTTCTCCATATGTTCATTACGCATTGTTCCTTTCAAGACTTAAGGGGTAGCATACACGGCATTACAGAGCATATTTCTCAAGCATCTTAACCACTATCTCCATGTTCTTATACATTGAAAACTTAAATGGTAACATATAAAGTATATTACCTAAGATTTTCAACAACTATCTTAATATTTGTATGTTCGAAATCTTAATGGGTATGAAGTACATTATCCAAGTTTTTCAAGCACTATCTCCACATTCTCATGCAATAAAATACAGAACATTTGATAAAGAATTTACCTCATTCTGTCTGGATTGCACTTATTAAATAAATATAAAATGAAGAACAAGTTCAGGGATGCAAGTTCAATCCCATCCAATAGCTTCTGAATTGTCTCAAAGATATATTTTGTTGTGCAGAGTAAGGTAATTATCAGAAAAAAGCACTACAGTATATAGCACTTAGAAGGGACACAAGGACAAAAACCTGGGATAGAACGGAAGGACGGAACAGTGCCCAACAACTTGTGCAAGAAAACGAAGTTCCCAGACTGTAACCAAAGTACTAAAACCCATAAACAATATACTTTATTATAAGAGCCAAAAACTCACACATACCAAGGCTAACAATTTGATTGAGAATTTCTTAAGGTTTTCACAAGAAAATTTGACCCAACCCATTAACACTTGTGCGTGCCGATAATGCCAAAATGAGTCATCTGTACTCCGACAGTAAGCATTCCAATGACACTAAAATGCATCATCAACTGCTATGCATAGATATTTGTATATTCATTACCATTATAATCTACTGTATTATAAACACACTTATGCATCTATTCTTCAGAGAATTCATTTGTGAACATTTTGACACCAAATTTATAGTTATGGCCCAACAAATAACTTTGAAAACATCAAATGATTGTAAACATTTTTCACATCTCTGAGAACCCATGTGCGGCCCAGGGAGCCCAGAATGATTACGGTCGGAAACACACCAAGAGGTTGGACCACTTGGTAATATGAGATTCAGAACTGCCATGAATGCTGTATATACAAACCCAATAAGCATCATTGTGGTCCTCACCACTTCAATCATTTAGGCAATAGGAATATCAAAACATAAAAGGAAAATCTTACGATTTACAAAGTTGTTGAAAAGTATCATGGTAGGCCTGGACAGTGTAGTAAATGAGGCGATAAAAATCATCTCCTGGATAATCACTTAGGAACATCACCTCCAGATCAGCTTTCCCAGTCTGAGGGTAAAGATGAAAAATTAGTGCAATAGCAAAAATAATTGTTATGAAGTATATAATGTATGCCATATTCCAAACAATCACACACACACTCACTCCTCCTAGCACAACTCATACAAATCTCTCAAACTTTCCATGCAGCTCATATTCTACTTGCAAGCACATAGAGTATTACTTACACTTACTCCAAATAACATGCAGATTGCCTCTGTAACCATACAGTACCTCTAGACTTGCACAGGCCTACCAAACACCAGGACCACAATATCGTGGCCTCAGAGAAGTGAGAGGAGCATGGGGATTGAAAGTCAGCCTTGTAACTGACTAAAACCACCCATAAGGCTCACATAAAACAAAAAATGCATCTTGATTAAAGAAAAAAAAATGGAAATAAAAGAAGTGGTAGTTTGCCAGCCTGGTTCATTTACACTGTTTTTAAGTTTATTTTCTACTACAGACGTGATCATTCATTTATACAGTACAAACTAGCAAATATACATTTTCCATTTTCTCCTGTCCTCCATGGACATGGTTGAAGATCTGTTAGACATCATAGAGTGTACTGAGTGATTGAGCACTACAACCACAGGTGGTTGTAGTGATTTTATGTCTATGCATGTATGGCTCTGTTACCTTTTAAAAATGAGTCTTGAGGCTGCAGATGTGAGAAATGAGCTAGATGTGGTTAAAAAAAATTTGCAGACATGTTCATTTGGTAGTTGTTAATTATATTATAGGTTGAAATGAAAAGTTTGCTAAGTGAGTAAGCCTATAGGGTGTGGGAAAAGCATTCTAGAGGCATCTCCAGTTGCAACCATCACTCACTGCAGTGAATTTGGGATAGTCCCATATAGTTCGTTGAATCAAGGTGGTACTGTACTGTATTGTATTTACATGCACAAAATCACACATTTTCCTTACAAAACCACTTGAACATCACTTGTAAATACGTTTACAATGAAATGTACTAATACTGTTTCCCACAAAATATTCTCATAAACAGATGCATCTTATATGCCGGGAAGGGTGTTGTAGTACAACTGGCTTCATTCTCGACTCACAATCAGGAATCCTGGGTTCAATTCCTGGATGGAGCAAGAATGGTTGGGCACATTTCCTGTCACCTAGCAATAAATAGATGTCCGGGAGTTAGGCAACTGTTGTGGGGTTGTATCCTGAGAAACTTTGGGGAAACTTAACAGACCAGAAGTACAGTACAGTATGTATACAGTATACTGTATACACACAGGTTTCATGTCCCAGACAAAATGAATCAAATATGCTAAGTGCCGTGTAGTGTAACGGAAGAATTGAGCTGTCACTTACTAGTGTTGCAATAGCTGCTGCATCTCCATACTCCACCACCAGTCCCAATGCAGCGTGAACATCCAGCACGGCACTGAAGTAGTTTTCTCCTTTAGCAAGGAAATAGCGCTGAGAAGCCAAACGAAGTAGTTCCATGAAGCCATAATAGTGGTCAGGAGCCAGCATCATGTGGACATGAGGATGGATCTGAGAGGCTCCTGCATGGAACAATGTATCCCAGGCAAGGTTGGGATAGCTGTGAAAGACGTTTTTATATTCTGGATTTTTTTTAAAGCCATAAATAATGCTAATAATGCTACTTGAGGAACAAGTTACAGTTGTTTAAAATTTGTTGTTATAAGAACAATTTCAGTTTGAAATGACCAAGTGGTTATTAAACTTAACTCTGTATTTACTATATAGTGGTGCCTCGATTAACGAATTTAATCAGTTCCGGCACCGAGCTAGTCATGTGAAACGATCGTCTTCGTGAAACAACAACAACACTGTCGTCGGAGGTGTCCGAGAACCAGCGGGAACGCTAGGAAGCACCATGTGGTTTGCTCGTTAATCGAGACAAATTTTCTGCAAGTGGCTGGCTCGTTACTCAAAATGGTCGTAACTGGAGTCGCTCGTCACTCGAGGTTCCACTGTATATATAATCAGTTATGATGTGCATAATATCAAATACATCACTCTATATAAAGAAAATTTGGGAACGTCTGAGAAGCCTTTTATAATAAAAAGATGTACTGTACAAATCTTTTAAGTCATTTGTACAAAGGGGATACTAATCCAGGCTGTTATATCACACTGCTGCAATAGATTCTCTGGCATGGATAATAAATAATGTATTAGTAGCCAATGACTGCAACTAAGAAAATTGATAAACTATGAGAAATATTGTATACTGTAACCATACATTTGTCAGCATTAAACTATATCTGCTAATCTTTAGTCTTTGAAAACCTATTGAAATCAGCTTGTGGCAACATTGAGTCTCCTTAATTATTTTTCCGCCCTATTTTTCAATCGACTAATATTAGCTTTTTATTTATGCATATCCAATATTTACCTTTGGGAGCATTTGCAAAAGTAGCTCATTCAATTCTTACAAACAAAGCCAATGTGCAGAATTATTTAGCAAATGTGTCAAGCAAACCTGTTTGGCCTATATACCTTGGGATTCTATAACTGAGTACAAGAAAGTAAAATCTTGTACTTTCAACAATTTAAATTACAGTAAAGACTGACAATTTAAATTATCACACTGCAGAGCAAAGTTAAATTTGCGAACACAATTTCATCATGAAAAACTTACATGTAGTGCACATCCTTCTTGCTCACGTCGTTCAACCATGTAGTGGCTTCTTGAAAGAACTTGACAAGCAAGTCCCTAGACAGATTAGTTGGATGATGCAAATGCCTTGTAATCACCATACTGTGCCATGCCTCCACTTTGAAAGTATTTGTCATGCGTACTGTATCTTTTGACGTGTGCCTATATGTATTTGAGTATACAGTATATATATATTAGTACATGTTTAATATTAGAGACAAATTTTAGAATGTAAACATTTAATTAGTTCTACTTTAGCCCTTAAACAGCCACCAATGAGACATTTTTATTTTAAAAATTCTTTCTGGCTACAATGAACAAAAATCCAGCATTGAATGCAATGAAGTACCCCTTTCTAGGGAGTATCTTGATAGCTTCCATCAGTGTGAGTGTGTCTCTCAAGATTCTCCCACAGCTGACTTGAATGGCTCATTGCAGTGCACAGTGCACTGATCTTCGTGCACAAGCCTCTCTCTCTTAACCCTGGATAGTGACCTGGCATGTTGGGTATCTCCAGAATGCCCA